TACTAACCTGTATTTCTTAATTGTCGTGAATGGCTTATAATATTTTTCTTTTGGTTTTTTGAGACAGGGTTTCTCTGTTGCTCTGGCTGTACTGGAACTCTCTGTAGACCAGGCTGGCCTCAAACTCATAGAGAGCTGCCTGCCTCTGCTTTCCAAGTACTAGGATTAAAGGCATGGGCCACTACCACCCAGCATTATAATAATAGTTTTTAAGGACTAGAACTTTATGTTGCATTTTTAAATGACCTACATAGGTACAATACCTTAAAGTAAGTAGAAACATATATACATAAACAATAATAACCTTAAATTTGCATCAATATACAAAAATTCATACCAATGTAAAATAGCTGAGACTAGTAGTTGCTTTTTTAGTTTGAAAGTAGATTCAATAATCTACCCTTTTATCCTATCATTTCTATAACCCCTCTTTTTCTTTTCAGACTGAGATCCCTGAATCTAATCTCCTTTGTTCAGCTTTTTCCTGATCATTACCAATAACAACTTGTAACCAACACCCCCAAATGATGACAAACATCTATAACCCACCAAATGACCAAAAACCACCCACTCCACCTCTTGGGAATGTGGGCACTGTGTTCTCTAGACTGTTTCCTGTTGTTTGAGGTGATGGCATCTTTATGGGACCCTGAGACAATGGTGATAATGTCCAAGTCCTGGGAGAGCTAACTGTTGTCCCGTCGCATTGGTGGGAAAGTGCAGGGCTTATCTGAAGTCCTGGCTGGACAGTCTGTGAGGCTGGACCATCTCAGCTAGCAGCTTTGAAGTTGTTGTGGATGTAGAGATTTGAGGAAACTACAACAGATTCTGAGATCCAGCATTCTGAGAGGCTGGATCGCCTGGGCTGCTTGTCTTCACTGATGTCTGGTCCTTTTATTCTGAAAACACAAACTTTCAAAGGTAACACATACGTCTGCATTAGCACAAGTGTGGAATGTGTGGTGTGCATGTCGGTTAAAGATGATTTTTGTGCCGGGCGGTGGTGGCGCACGCCTTTAATCCCAGCACTCGGGAGGCAGAGCCAGGCGGATCTCTGTGAGTTCGAGGCCAGCCTGGGCTACCAAGTGAGTTCCAGGAAAGGCGCAAAGCTACACAGAGAAACCCTGTCTCGAAAACCCCCCCCAAAAAAAAAAAAAAAAGATGATTTTTGTTCTATGTTTGAGCAGATAAAGGCATCTGTCAACTTTCTAAGTCCATTTGGCCTGCATAACCGAACTGTAATATAAATCTCCATCCATGCCATATGAAAGTATGGCATGTATAATAAGTCACGAGGACTCTGTAGCCAACAGTATTTATCATGTCTCATCCAGTCTCAAAGCTGTTCCCTTGTCGAGGGATCAGCATATCTGTCACCTGTCTTGGAGTCTTTCTTGGTTCTTTTTTATGTCTGTGGCCAAGATTTTCAGGGGGCCTTTCTCAATCAAATTTGATCTTTATTAATTTTGAAGAGCCATAACTTTTTGTTTCCTGTGGAAACAAAGGCATAACCTCTCCCTCAACATAAGATTTTTTTTTACTTCCATTTTGAAGACATTCTTAAACTATATAGGTTGGTTTAATGTAGCAGTTTCCATAATCCAATGTCTCTCAGCAGCTCTTATTTTGTGTACATGAGCATTAAAAAAATTCAAATTTAACAAAGCACCATTTAAGGTCCAAACTCCCTGTTTTAAAATATTTTCCATCCTTATGTGGCTTTTTAAAATATTACTTTACTCCCTCTTTAAAGATTTTACTTTTGTATTTTTAAACTATTTTTCCTATGACTGTATATGTCTATATCTTTCTTTTTTCTTTTCCCAGCACCTAAGCACCGTTTTAAGCATACTACACCTTTTTAGCGGTTTTCTGTGTCTGGACCTGGCTTTCGGTGGGTCTGTTGTCTTCTTGGACCGTGAGACCAATCCTAAACTGTTAGTCGGTGGCTAGCGCTGGCTCCAGCCCCCTCGGTTCCCGGAGAGACTAGCCTCGTGCCAGCGGGTATCTGCCAGAGGCGCATTTATGGCCCCAGCTCCGGGAAGTTGTGGAGTCCACTTTCCAGAGTCCCCGCAAGCAGAGAGGCCCAGGCAGCGATTGCGATTGGGGCGGTGCTGGCTGCTGTGACTTTTCTTTTTGTGTGGGCGCCAAATGTCTTTCTCTGTCCCATCAGCCAGCTCCCAAATAATGACACGGAGACTTTTTTTTTTCCCCCAAGACAGGGTTTCTCTGTGTAGCTTTGTGCCTTTCCTGGAACTCGCTTTGGAGACCAGGCTGGCCTCGAACTCACAGAGATCCATCCTACATGGAGACTTTTTATGAATTATAAAAGCTTAGGCTTAATTTAGGCTTCTTTTCAACCAGCTCTTATCACTTAAATGGGCCCATTTCTATTAATCTAGGTTCTGTCATGTACAGCCCATCCTGCTTCCTCTGTGTCTCCGAGCATCCTCCACGCACGCCTCTATTATCTCCTTATGTCCTCTCTGCCCAGAAGTCCCGCCTCCACCTCCTGTCTGACTATTGGCCGATCAGCTCTTTATTAAATCAATCACAGCAATGTGTCTTCACACAGTGTACAACTATCCCACAACACCTCGCCCCTGAATCCGTGACCCAGCCACTCCGGTCTGTTCAGGTCAGCAGCGACTTAATTGACCCTTGCCCAGGGACAGGCAGAGGGAAGCCAGAGTGACAACAGCTGTGTCTGTCACCATCACTGAGTGGGTATGGCCTTGAGCCTCATTGCACATGTGGGTAACTGAGGCCACTGTATCTAGGTCACACATCCAGGCTGTCCATCCCTGGGAGTGTGACGTTTGTGAAAGGAAAACTTGAGCTTGCTAGCGACCCCTCTGACCCCTCCCCATCCCAGCTCGGCTGGTGGGCCCGCCCTGTGTCTGCAACCAGGAAGCCTGAGCCACAGAGGGGGGGACGTTCCTTGTAACCCTAGGGACTCCTGAGCAGGGACACATTTATTCCTTAACAGTAGAGCTGGCTCTGCCTCCAGGAATTGAGGGGAACAGTGGCCACCAGGGTCCCCAGGCTGGCCAACCACCGGGCTATTCTAGGTTCTGGAACTTTGGAACATAGCCACCTCCTTTACAGGGTTCTGCTCCAGGTAACCTGGACACAGATGGACACAGATGCACACCCCATGTGCAGGGTGCCAGAGTAAGGCTTAAGAGGTTGATCTGTGGTTTGAATGCCCCTGGCCCCTTCTCTCACCGCTAAGGATCCCAGGGGACTGCTGCTAAGGCGACCTTCCTTTCATGCAAAAAGAAACTGAGGCACAGACATTCTGTGCCACCCCATCTCCCTGGTCCCTCCACCTTCGGGAAGTGTGAGGGTGCAATACCAGCCCAAGGGTGACAGATGTGACAGGATCTCCCGCACGCCACCCTGCAGGTCAGCAGCATCTCTCTTCGGCATGTCTGATCCGCCACCACGGCCTCTCTTCCTAGGCTGTGCCGGAGGAAGCCAGCAGAGCCCCCCCCCCTCCTGTGGGAAGGTGTGTCATCTCTGCCCGTTTGGGTGAGGCCTGGCTGCTCAGTGGTGTGTTCCTGCTACATTTATTTATTTTGTAAGGAGCAGGCCATGGCATGAGTGTGAAGCTCACACACAGCTTGTTGGTTTTGAAACAGTCTTGCTCTGCAGACCGGGCTGGCCTTGAACTCAGATCCGGCTGCCTCTGCCTCCCGAGTGCTGGGATTAAAGGCGTGCACCACTGTACCTGGTCAGAGAACAGCTACAGGTAGTCAGTTCCCTCCTTCCCTGTGAGACCCCAGGACGTAACTCAGGTCGTCAGTCTTGGCATCCAGCACCTTACCCACTGAGCTATTCTGCTGGCTTGCTTTGATGTTCCGTTTTGTTTTTATTCTTTATATTTTGTTTTTGTTTTGTTTTGTTTTTGAGACAAGGTCTCTCTATTATGTAGCTCTGGCTATTCTGGAACTCACTATGTGGACCAGGCTGGCCCTGAACTCACAGAGATCCACCCACCTCTGCCTGCAGAGTGCTGGGATTAAAGGTGTGCACTGTTGCTGGGTGGTGGAGTTTGAGGCCAGCCTGGTCTACAGAGCGAGTTCCAGGACAGCCAGGGCTACACAGAGAAACTATGTCTCAAAAAAAAAAAAAAAAGGGTGAAAGGGTGTGCACTTTCATGCCCAGCTTTTGGGGGCGGCGTCTGAGACAGGGATATAGCCCAGCTGGCCTCAGGTTTGTGATTCTTGTGCCTCTGCCCCCCAAGTGCTGGGTTCATAGGTGGCACTGCCATGCCTGGCTAAGACCTGGATTTGAAACGTAGATGCCCTTCACCCAGGCCCCCTGCACTGAGCTGGCACCGTGATTGGTGTGTTGAGGTGAGATTGGATACAAGGTCTCAAGCCCCCCTTCCTGGTGAGCCTCGCCCCTAACCCTCTTCTGTAACTGTGGGAGACGGCCTCAGTTAGCCCAGGCTGGTTTCAGCTCACTGTGGTTGAGGATGACCCCATGCTCCTGGTCCTCACACCTCTGCTCCCCAAGTTTGGGGACTATAGGAGTACCCCACCACACCTGCCTTGAATTTTTTTCTCAAGATAGAGTTCGGCCAAGTTTCCCACACTGGCCGTGAACATACTCTGTAGTTCAGGCGCACGGTTGACCTTCCCGCCTCAGCCTTCCATGACAGGTCTACAGTGGCCTAGGGCAGCTTCTTAACCCTTCGGAGCCCGGTTCCACCCCTGGAGTGCAGCCTGCCTTGGCTCCCCAAGGTTGAGCACCTGGAACAGCATGCCTGCTCAGCCCAACCCCCCTTCTCCGGTTGGGTGTTTGTGCCAGCCACTGATGATCTCGGTGAACTTGGCCCCAACCTCACATGGGACAGACAAGAGGGCTGGGCTCAGGGACTCTACCTGGTCAGAAGACCAGGATCAGATAGAAGGATCTGGAAGCTGAGCTTTCCTGGCCAAGGAGAGAAACCTGCGCAGCGTCCCCTGAGCCTCCCTTTCCTGGCCTTCTAGGGAAAGAAGAAGAGCCTGTCGGTCCTGGAGGGCCTGGGCTTCCGCGTGGGCCAGGCTCTGGGCGAGAGGTGAGAGGCAGCCCCACCTGCCTTCCGCTGCTGCCGGGAGGGTGGGCAGGCCGATGCTGGGGTTCCTGCTGTCAAGACCGAGGGTGGGGAAGCTTTCGTGGGCCCACACAGGTACTGGATGGGCCTGGCTTCATTCCACATCCTCATCCAGGCTGCCCCGCGAGACGCTGGCCTTTAGAGAGGAGCTGGACGCTCTCAAGTTCCTGTGCAAAGACCTGTGGGCTGCCACGTTCCAAAAGCACATGGACGGACTCCGCACCAACCACCAGGTGGGTGTGAGCTGGCCTGGCTCAGCCCCAGCACCTGGCCTCCAGGTTGGGGGCAGTGGCGACCCCACAAGAGAATGCCACAGTGTGCCCCCCCCCCAGGACTTGGGAGGCAAGAGCCGTAGATTGCCATCATCATCATCTGCCCCTTCTCCTTGGAGCCCCTCGGGGAAGCCAGGGCTGCGGTGGGGTGTGTCAAGGCCATTTCTGCAACTTCAGCCCGCCTGTCAGGAGTGAGCCCTCCCCAGGCAGCTGGTGGCCTCGACATGATGATTCTTGTCCCAGGCTGTGGTAGTCCCCGTGAACACCCACGCCACGCCCACTCCCTGTCACTGCTTCCTGGCCCAGGGCATCGGCCTCTCCTGGCACTCCTGGGTACCCAGGCCCGGCAGCTCTGCAGGATTGGGGACTGGGGTCCTTCCCTGGTCCGTGCCCAGCCCGTCCCCTCTTTTCTGTCACCAGGGGACCTACGTGCTGCAGGACAACAGCTTCCCCCTCCTCGTCACCATGGGCTCGGGGTCACAGTATCTGGAGGAAGCTCCCAAGGTATTGGGGGCGGTACAGGACACGCCTATCTGCCCACCCCCTGCTAGGCCTCTCCTGGGGCTCGGGCCTGGCCTCCCCTCTTCCCACAGTGGTCTGTGTCCCCATCCTAGTTCCTGGCCTTCACCTGCGGCCTTCTGTGCGGCGCCCTCCATACGCTGGGCTTCCAGAGCCTGGTCACCGCCTCTGTGGCTGCCCTGCCCGCCTGTAAGTCACTGGGGGAGGGGTGCTTTGCATCCCTTAACTGTGGTGTAGGCTTTGGGGCTTCCCCATCCCTGATGGGTCCCTCATCAGTCTTGGGAAGGGAAACCAGATTATCAAACCACATCTGACATGGAATTTGAGGCCCAGAGACCACTAGCGTGAGCACATCCATGTACCCAGTTTGTGTCCCTGGGGTGCCTCTAAGGGTAGAGGCTAGCAGAGGACCCAGTGGGACATCTTTGACACCCTGGTCAAGCTCCCAAAGGCTTTGAGGAGTGGCAACTCACCACCCATCTGCTGTTATCGTGACCCCATAGGGCACTGCTGGGCCTGAGCCCTGCCCCCCCCCCCCCCCAGTGAGCAGCTGCCACCCCCTCCTTGGCACTGTGGGGACCTGCGGTGAATGAGCAGGACATGTCAGGAGCTCAGGCCAGCCCTCCTGCCTCCTACATGTTCAGCCACCCGTCTCTGGGCTCCTCCATGATCTGGGATGCAGGCCAGTTGGGTGGGGGTGGTAACCCCGCGACCCACTCCAAGGCGCCCCAGGCTGTTGGTTCAGGTGAACAGCCAGCCTGCTGACAGGCTTCCTGTCCCAGCCCCAGTTCAGGGTGGCCCTTCCCTTCCAGGTAAGTTCCAGGTGGTGATCCAGAAGTCCTGAGGACCCCAGGCCTGCCCTGCCTGACCCCAGCCTCAGGAGACTGGTACCTTGGCCCCGTCCAGCTGGTCACCTTTGCAGGTGGCTTTGAAGCTGGAGTTCACAGGCTCTGAGGTGATCGCGTGCTTCAGATGAGGGAATGGAAGGAACTGGAGGGTCCCAGGAGGCAAAACCATCCAGTGACTCCAGGATGGGCATGGAGGGACATTAAGGCCTCTGTCACCCGGATGGCGAGTGCTCAATAAAGTTCTTTACATGGGAACAGACCTGTGCATGTCCCTCTGCACCCACCCCACCCTGAACACCTGGCCCCGCTCACGGGCTCTGCCAGCCAGCAAGTCTGGGGCTGCCCTCGGCCCAGCAGGGCCCGGCGAACGCAGCCTCACCCTGCCGCCTCCTGGTTGTATCTGTAGCATCTGAGGCTGCACTCGGGCCTGGACTCTGCACCCAGGACTGCAGACCGAGGTGGGGCCGAGACCCCAGTGGAAGGAGCAAGGGCCACTGGCTCTTTGTTAGTTATGTGTACGTCTGCCGAATCCAGTCCTCCGCAAGGGCAGCAGGCTCTGTTAACTCCTGAGCCATCGCTTCAGGCCCCCAGCCCCAAGACAAGGTCTCTCCCACCCGACAGGACAGATGGTTGCTCTTGCTGAGGACCCAGGTTTGATTCCCAGCACCCACATAGTGGCTTACAACCATCCATAACTCTGCTTCCAGAGGATTTGAGAAGCCCTGTTCTGACTACTGTGGGCACCAGGTATCTACACATAAATGCAAGCAAAACATTCATACACATAAGACAAGATCTAGAGCCGGGCGGTGGTGGCACACACCTTTAATCCCAGCACTCGGGAGGCAGAGGCAGGCAGATCTCTGTGAGTTTGAGGCCAGCCTGAGCTACATAGCGAGATCCAGGAAAGGCGCAAAGCTACACAGAGAAACCCTGTCTTCAAAAAACAAAAAAACAAGGTCTAGTCATGTAGCTCAGGTTGGCCTTGAACTCAGGTGGTCCTCCTGCCTCAGCCTACCAAGAGATGACTGACAATGTCACCAGGCTCAGCGGAGTCCCTAGGGTTGAAGCATCCACCTCTGTAGAGTGGTCCAGATGTCCCCTGTGTTCCCTGTTCTGTCCCTCTCTCCAGCTCCCTACAACTAAACTCTTGGCACCCCACTTTGCACGCATGGTCCCCTGCCTGGTCAGCCCCACCCTGGTCCCCTCTATGGGTCCAGTAGCCTTTTCTACACAGCCTAGTGGGCAGGACTGGCATGCCACGGTTCACCTCTGGATACATCCCTGCCTCCCAGATGGACCAGGGGACACTCCCCAAAGAAGGGGCCGGAAGGACAGCTGGCAGGAAAGAAACCACAGCTGGAGGAAAGTAGCCAGGCCCTGACGGCAGGAGGCAGTGAGGCCGTCCAGGCCCCGTCCAGGCCCCGCTGACGCAAGGGAAGAATTCCACAGTGTGGGGTGCCCTTTTCCCCAGCACCACCCTGGCCCGACCAAGCACAGGCAAGGCTTGGCTTGGCAGCCACCACTTCCTTTCATTGCCGGCTCTGTGTGGTCTGGGGCAAGGAAGGCGTTCTGTGTCTCTGGGCCTCAGATTTCTCCTCTGTGAAGTGGGCAGGACTTCTGTGGGTTGTGGTGATAAAGGGGGCTACCGAGTGAGCAGGCGCAGAAGCCGCTTGCCGGGGATCTATGCGAGGCATCCAGAGCAGCACTCGGTAAGTGGGGCAGCTGGTGCTGGCCCTGAGGGCTGGATGGACTCATCCTTTTGACAACCTCAGGAAACAGGTGCCAACCTGACCTATTCATCGACGAGGAAGCCCAGAGAGATGAAGTCACTGACCCATGGTCACACAGCTGTGCCACATCAGAGCCAGCAGACGGTTGGGATTTTTTCTGCCTCCTCCCTCCCGGCAGAGGTGTCCAGAAACCTGGTGTGAGGGTTGCTGCGGACTCTCCACCCCCTCCTGGGTTCATCCTGTCCGGGGCACCCAGTCCTAGAGAGCAGCAGGCCAGGCGCCTGCCCAAAGGGCGGGGACACACGCCGGAGAACCGGCCGAGCGGGCGCCACTGGGCTCTAGCCAGGCCTGCGCGGGGCCACGGCAGGGAGCTGGGGCCGCGGGGCCACCACCAGGTAGGTACTGAGAGCCCAGGCTGGGATGTGGGGGGCATGCGGTGGTAGGCTGGACCACTGTCCTGATCCCCAACCCCAGTCACCCAGGTTCCCATCGCCCTGGGCCAGACAGTATCTTTCCCAGCTCAGCTCTGACTCCTCCGAACCTCTAAACACGCCGCGCCCCCCTGTGTCTCCTCAGAAGACACCAGCTTCGCTTTAACCCCAGATGCCCCTTCTCTCCACCCTGCGTTGAGTTCCCCACATTTATTTATTTATTATTTCTTCTTTTGCTTTGTGAGAGGTCTCACTCTGTGGCTCTTTCTGGCTTCAAAGGCAGAGATTGCCCCTCCCGTCTCTGTCTCCTGAGTGCTGGGATTCAGGGCATGTGCCACCATGCCAGGGAAGTTCCCTGCTCTTAGATTCTAGTCTGGCTCTGCTTGGTGGCTTCCCAGGTCAGTCTGCACTCCCTCACCTGGCCCCACAGTCACCCCCTGGCATCTGGCCATTGTCTCTCCCGCACTTCAGTGCCCACTCCAGTGACCCAGGGGAGCCCCCTTCCCCCACATCTGGACTGTGCCTCTTGCCTGTTCAAGATCACAAGGGGTCATCTTAAAACAGCCCAGGGACCCCACCGAGCTGAGCACTGACCCCTCCATCTAGGAACGGGCCACTGACATCACGGCCCGCCATGCAGAAGAACTACAATGTCCGCTTCACCAAGAGTGCCCGGACCCCCGACGAGCAATACTTTTTGGATCCTGAGTTGGGGCACCAGAAAGGTAAGAGCTCATTTTGAGGGGGTGGGTTGTGGCAGGAGAAGTGGGTGGGGGTGGGGTGGGGTGCTGAATTTACGTGCCGATTGCTGTGGCACATGCCTGTCATCCCAGCATTTTCCAGGCTGAGGCAGGAGGACCTGCTGCAAGTTCCAGGCTAGCCCGGGTTACACAGTGAGATTGCTCTTACTGAAAAGGGCTGAGACAGGGTCTCACTCTGTAGCCCAGGCTAGCCTTGACCTCCTAGGCTCAAGCGCTCCTCCTACCCCAGGCTCACAGGAATCTGATAACCACCATGCTTGTCTCCTCTAGAGTCCAAAAGTTGGAGCATTCACTAGGGGTGGGAGCAGGAAATCCTTTTGAACATCTCCAGGCTGTGGGGGACAACCTCCAGAGGAGCTACAGGGTGGGAGGGGCAGAGTAGGGGGGGAGGCCCCCAGTGGGTGCGTCTCTGGTAGTGGCTCAGATTCCCACAATGACCAAGGGGAGTGGGGAGGGGGCACTGACTTCCTGTCAAAGGCGTCCCAGACTCCCGGGGTCTGATAGCTCAGGACCCACCGGCCTTCTCAGTCCTTAGCTTGTCCCCTCTCCACGGCCACTTCCGACCAGCCAGGCCAGCTCCTAGATCCTCAGCCATCCTCACCCTAAGATTCTGCAGCAAGGACCCCCTCCCCCAGGGATGCAGGACATTAGTCTCGGGATTTGGGGTGCCAAGATGCAGGAATCTCCGGTATTGTCCTCTCTTGGTCCTCTCTGGAAAGCACAGACCCTGTGTGTCCTGTCCCTGACATCCCCTGGGTCCTTGGTGCGCCTCTAACTCCTGGGGCCTCTGGGGCTCCCATGGATGCTCCAGGCCAACAAATAGCACAACCTGGTTCAAGCCAGTGTCCCCAGGGGGACCGGGACCCAGTCCCAGTCACCCCCGCTTCCTTCCTTCCAGGATGCTGTCGTCAGTGGTACCAGGACCCGGTGGCCACTCACGCCCACGGGCCCTGTCAGCTGCCCCCCAAGGCTCACTGGCAGCAGGCTTATCACAGCCACCGGGGTGGCAGCGGCTGCCGCAGGTGTCCCCAGGCCCTCATTCTGCAGCGACAGCGGCAGCAGCAACAGCGGCAACCCCCACCCCTCCCTCCCAGTCCGCTGCGGCAGCGGCTCTGTCCAGTTCGCGGGGCCCAGAAGGGGTCACCTGCGGTCGCCGCTGCCCGCATGGGACCAGCCAGCGCCCCGCAGCCTGCCACTTCATCACCCGCAGCTGTATCAGCCACGGCCAGCAGCAGCCCAGCCCAGCCCTCTGCATCTGGTGCCCTCCTGGAGCCCAGCGAGCCCACCGAGGCGCGGCCCCTGCCTGCGCCCCCAGCCTGCGGCTCCTTCACCTCCTACGGCGCCGGTGCTGAGCCCAGGCTTTCCCCCTGGGGCTGCGTCCCCATTGCCTTGCTTCTGCCTGGGCCTTCTGCTCCCTGGCTGGCACCTTGGGCCTGTCCTCGGTCCACACACACTGTGGTCCCTGTGCGGAGAGCGCTCATCCCAAGCCCTTGGTCTCTGCCTTAACGGTTGGGGTCCCTGACTTCTGGGGCAGACCCGCGCTCACTCGCTGGGTGCCTCTGCCCCTCCTCTCTGCGGGTGCTCTGCTTCTGGTTTCTCTTTTCTTAGCCCTACCTCAACTGGCCCACAAGGCCAGGGAGGACAAGGGGCAGGGGGTGATGAGGACCTGGGGCAGCTTTTTGGCCAGCTGTGGTGCTGGGGGGCACAGGTGGAGAGTGGGGGTTAAAGAAGAGGTAGGAAGAGCATGGGAGAGGGGAGAGCGCTGGGGGGGGGCACGGTCACCTGGTACAGCGGGTTCCAGGAAGACAGCTCAGTGAGGAGTTACGGGATCAATCACTTTGAGGGGAAATAAGAGACGGGAAAGGGGACCCCGGGCTTGGAACGGGGCCATCGTCAGGGTACCACTCAGATGGCAGGGTCGGTCATATTAGGCACTGAGGTGGTCTGCCGCAGGGACAGCCAAGGTGAGGCAGGCGTAGGCTCAGAGAAGGGGCCACTGGGAAGAGGCAGAGTCCATCCGGAGCAGGGAGGGGCTGAGCCAGGTTCAGGGTGGCGGCCCCAAAGGTGGGGGACACAGCTGTGTCAGGACCTGGGTCTGAAGTAGAGCAACAGGTAATGAGAACGCACAGCAAGGTTGGGCATGCACGACCTGCCATGGCGCCCGGGGGCCGGGAAGTCCATTTCACACTCAGAGAAAGAGAGGATTAGTGTGGTGAGGTCACCCATCGATTAGGCATGGCTGGGGTCCGCCCAGGCCACTGTCACCCCAGCTCACCTTATCCTAAGCCCTTCCTGGCTCTGCTGCCAGTCACAGCCACACCCCGCAGCCC